GTACCAAATAAAAATCTCTACAATGAGTGGGTTTTGAGAATCAAATCCAAAAGTAACTACTATCTATTAAAACATAAATAAAATATTGGATAGTATAAAGGAATAGAAGGGCAATAAATAACTACGTAATAGTAAATACTTAATATCATCCTATAATAAGGTTATAGTAATATGATAATATAAAAGAAACATGTGCATGACATAGACAACTTTTAATATGCGTGATGCTCATTATTAGAAAGCGTGTGTGAGAGCTATTATGATAAGTTAGGCTTTAAAATGTGAATAACAATTTCAACACGTTTCAAATGCAATAATATCGAGGCATAATCATATTCTCCCAAAATATGTCTCATTCAACCATTTTTTTACCGGTTGCAGCAAGTTTTACATATATTCAGATAAAGGACATCTAAAACTCTAAGTAAGCATAAACCTAGAAAAATCCAATGAATTTCTATAAAGTTGTTGTGATATTCCCTAAAATTTAATTTAAAGAAGAATTAATCTTTTTTTTATCCGTTTAACTAAACAAAACAAGTAGCCTACATAATTTCTTATTATCAATCAATATAGCATAAATTAAATACTAGAAATTGCATATATATAAGTATAATATATATATGATATATATAATATATAAATCATCTGATCCCAAATCATAACTAATCATTTATACTACTCGACGATCTATACAATCACTATCACAACTACTCTATCTTGAGTAGAAAAAAATCAAATTAAAATAAAAAAATAGAACCTGAGAATCTGATTCAGTCTTATCACTCATGTTCTCTTGTCTTGACTTGAAATCATTAAACACATACAGTGAGTTCATAGTTCATAAGTAATAAATCCTACAACATACTCATGCACCAGGGGGGATCAGCTTCTTTTTCAGCGGTGGCAAAAAAAAAATATCTGTGGGAGCATGACAAAGATGCTTAGAATTGAATTAAATTAAGAGCAAAAAAATTTTTGAGAGGCGGCCAAGAATACTCCAAAATATCAAAATATATTTCCCAAAATAGCCCCTAAAAACAAAATTTCTTTTTTGAGGGGGCATTTCCCCTCTCAAACTCATATGGGGATCCACGCCTCATGCAAGGCATAATAACTAAAAGTAATTAGTATATGTCAACAGTCAATGTAATAATAATAATCACAAATCATTAAATTCATCTATAGAAATAAATAAAAGCTCAATTGATGAGTAGTAGTATAATATGTAAACTAATAAAATAGTACGATATTAAGTAGCAAAACAAAATACAGTGAAAGAAAATCAGTAAAACTTTATGGTTATCAATTAATCAAGTAGTGCAATATAAGTAACTTTCAATCAGTGATAAATCAATAAAAGAGGTAAAATTAAAGCATCAAAAAAAAAATGCTCCAATTATATTCAATTAGGAAATCATATTAAACATTATAGTAACCATCCAATAGTCATATGCTAGTAAATCTATATGCTTATGCATCATATACTCAATTATTTGTATGGTTGAATTATTCATATCGAAATAATATATTGTGTTAATATCTGTAACAGTAAAGTTTAATTCATTAAGTAAAATTCGATGGTAGGAACTGTAAATTTTTGTAGTCAAAATCAAATATGTATAATAATAGAATAAATGCCTCAACATTGACCTACGAGTTCTAGAGAGTTTCCGTTTTACTAGTCATAGCTGAAGAGTAAGTAAGAAATTGTAACTTTAATTAGTATTTATATATATATATATATATATAATCATTGCTCCAAAAAAATCATTTATACTACTCGGATCGATCTATACAATCATATCACAACTACTCTATCTTGAGTATAAAAAAATAATTAAAATAAAAAAGAATAGAACCTGAGGAATCTTGATCAGTCTTACACTCATCGATCTATACAATCATATCACAACTACTCTATCTTGAGTATAAAAAAATAATTAAAATAAAAAAGAATAGAACCTGAGGAATCTTGATCAGTCTTACACTCATGTTCTCTTGTCTTGACTTGAAATCATTTAAACACATACAGTGAGTTCAATAGTTCAGTAAGTAACTAAATCCTATAACATGGGCGGATCCAGCTTCTTTTTTCAGGGTGGGCAAAAAAAAAATTTGTGGGGGATGGGCAAAGATGCTTAGGATTGATTAAATGAGAGCAAAAAATTTTTTGAGAGGGGGCAAAATACTCAAAATACCCAAAATATTCCAAAATATCCCTCTAAAATAAAAATAAAAAAAAAATTTTGAGGGGGGGGCATTTGCCCCCTCTCAACTCAATGGGGATCCGCCCATGTCAATGCATAATAAAAAAAGTAATATATATGTCAACAGTCAAATTGTAATAATAATAATCACATAATCATAAATCATTATATAAATAATAAAGCTCATATGAAGTAGTAGTATAATATGTAAATAATAAAATAGTACGATATTAAAGTTAGTAAAACAATACAGTGAAGAAATCAGTAAACTATTATAGGTGTCAAATTAATAAAGTAGTTGTCATATCAGTACTTTCAATCAGTAGATAAATCATATAAAGAGGTAAAATTAAAGCATCAATAAAAAAATGTCCAAATTATATCAATATAGTGAAATCATATTAAAGTATATATATACCATCCAATATGTCATATGCTTAGTAAATTATATGCTTATTGCATCATATACTCAATATTTGTATGATGAATCAGTCGTATCAAATAATATATGTGTTAATATCTGTAACAGTTAAAGTTTAATATCATTAGTAAATTCAGTGGTAGTAATGGTAAATTTGTGTAGTCAAAATAAATATGTATAATAATAGGATAAATGCCTCAATAACATGGATTTTACTAGTCATACTAAATAAGTAAGAAATTTTAACTTAATTAGTATTTTTTAGTATATTATTAATATCAATAATTAAATCATTAGATCAGTAAATAGAGTCATCAATCTTGGCTTGTTAGCACAATAATCATCTCCTTATAACTCTAAATCAGTATCACATCTTATATCTCTAAATCAGTATCACATAAATCAGTAAAAGATAAAATCAAATCACAGTATTAATTTAAAGGAAAGCTCGTCAACCCACCATCCTATACAGATCAGCTAAAATCCGGCCAGCCAACATCAGTAGATAACAAATATTTATTTACTTTTCCCCACACATATTATTAACATAATATTATAATAGTAATAACAACCAGCTTTTACTCAATCATAAACTCATATTTCAATACATTGAAGTAAATATTTAATTTAGAAAATGCCCAAATGTCGTGATCGTAGGCAACAGAAATCCTAATAAGTAGAAACTCGCA